ATATGCGAAAAAAGCACAAAACTATTGAGATATGTGGAAACTGTGGAAAGTTAGAGATATGTGAAAAAAAGCACAAAGCTATTGAGATATATGGAAACTGTGAAAGGTTAGAGATATGCGAAAAAAGCACAAAACTATTGAGATATGTGGAAACTGAAAGACAGATATGTGAAAAAGCACAAAACTACTGAGATATATGGAAACTGTGAAAAGAGTTGCAGATATGTGAAACAGGTACAAAGCTGTTGAGATATGTGGAAACTGTGAAACGTTCCAGATATATGAAATGAGCACAGGGCGGATGAGATATGTGAAACTGTAAACGAACATTAAGAAATAATGCAATGGGTACGGAAAACATGCATTCTGTACAGAGTTGTACATAAATGTGACATCTGTACCAAGATGTACATAAAATGGGATTTCGTTATTATCGGCCCAAATATGAAAACAAAAATATGAAAAATGCATGCCCAAAGGGGTATATCTATGTAATTCAGAAATGGTTACGTTGCATTTTCAGAAGAAAAATTGAAAAAAACATCCTGTAAAATGAAAAGGTATAGAACTGTCGAAAAGTGTTATATAAATGTGGAACGTGAACACACAGTAAACACGAGTAAACATGAAATATCCGAAATTTTATCGGAGAACGTCTTTGACGCTAATATGAAAGTAACGCGTACCACAATGCCGTCAGATTTCGTGATGAACATGTATTACCTCTCCTTGAGTACTATGTAGAACTGTGTTCGGTAGAACGGAAATTATCCGCTCCAGCGGCCTAGTGGATACAGCGTCTGCTCTGTGAGATGTAGGCTGGAAGTTCGATCCCCTAGCCGCATCATGCCATAATATAGTAAAAGATGGTACTTTTACTGCCCTGCCTGAGGCTTGAGGATCAAACAAGGACTGGTCGGTCGGGGTGAATATATTGTGTCTGAGGTTATCTGTGTTAAACTGTCATGGTATCCCAGTGTGCTGGTTTAATAAAACCGGCATCAATCCAGACCAGTCCCAGAAGACACATACATGCACGAATGGCCAACGTACACTGCACCTCACTTCATCTAGTAAAATCCGGAATTAACCGCCTATGACTTAAAAACTATTTGCAAATGTATTTGATCAACTTCAGCGTATCAGGGTCATTGTAAGTAAGCTGCACCATGTTCAGCTCAGCCGTGCACCATATATCGCAGACGTGTATCGAGACCAGTCATGAATAACTGAAGACTTTACTATTTGAAAAACTCTTAGAATCGTCTGCTGAAGGGCTGAGTCAACAAGTACTGTTAGCATGTTCCCGGGATTCTGTTCCGCTATGTTAAACAATCTCGTTATAGATAAATCCCCTGCAGGACTGTCGATGCACAAGTCTCGTGATAACAGCGAGATGGCGTATTATACAATTATTTTACGTTCGCTTCGGTAGTAACGGATAAAGCTCCTTCGGGACGTGGGAATAATGGTTTTGTGTAGAAGGCGACAAGAGTTACTTCCCTTACCTAAACATCACGATCTCGCTCCCAGAACAGAACGTTCAATATTTAAGTGCATATCATTATATGTAAGACCTAGGAATTAAAAAAACCCAATCATTGGTTTTCCCACCTTTATGGGCCGAATATTAATGTAAATTATCCCTAGGCTTAAAGTCGCAAATAATGCCAACGCATCTATAGACCCAATTCCATTAAATTTAATGAATGAACAGTCTGACAAATATTTTAAAGTAACTATGGCATATCGGAACATTCCATCTATTTCGAAACATTGACTACGGGGAAATCGGTCGACATTCATTTAAAAAAAATTTTTTATTTATTTATTTCTTTTGTCTGTGGGTTGAAATACGAGAAACGTCACGCATAAAGACGGACCATGTGCTAAAAACACGGGGAGTCTTAAATACGTGTATTCCAGGTACCGACGCAGGAAAATTATAATTAACGTAATTGAACCCACGATCGTGCATGTAGGTGTCTTAAGACCCAAGGAACAAGCCCCTGCAGGCCCAGGCTCTTCAGGCGACTGGTAGAATTGACAATCACGAGGCGACGGTTTTGGGATTTTACTGACGCTTTGGTGACTTATCATCAAATCAATATATTTTCCAATGGCAACGTTAAACATTGAATCAGTATATATTTCTAAGTATTATACAGAACGTGTCTGACATCCGTTGTTTGCCTGGCTATCACCTTTACTTTCTGCTGCTTCATGTCTAATGACCAACAAGGTGCCGAATGACCAAAGATGAAAATACATTACTAATATCAGAGCTTTCTGAAAGGAGCGTTAGTCCTGCAAGCTTTGACCTTATCAATATTGATTGAGGTGGCTGTCTAGAAATCAGCTGCAAAACTTAAAATTTTAAACTTATTCAACTCTACGGGTTCTCCTAAGGAGATACAGAATGATTCATCTTGAAATTACCCTCTGCATATTGTACTATGCTGGTACACCAGGCTTCATCTTGAAATTACCCTCTACAGATTGTACTATGTTGGTACACTAGGCTCCATCTTGAAATTACCCTCTACAGATTGTACTATGCTGGTACACCAGGCTTCATCTTGAAATTACCCTCTACAGATTGTACTATGCTGGTACACTAGGCTTCATCTTGAAATTACCCTCTACAGATTGTACTATGCTGGTACACCAGGCTTCATCTTGAAATTACCCTCTACAGATTGTACTATGCTGGTACACCAGGCTCCATCTTGAAATTACCCTCTACAGATTGTACTATGCTGGTACACCAGGCTTCATCTTGAAATTACCCTCTACAGATTGTACTATGCTGGTACACCAGGCTCCATCTTGAAATTACCCTCTACAGATTGTACTATGCTGGTACACCCTCTACAGATTGTACTATGTTACCCTCTACAGATTGTACTATGCTGGTACACTAGGCTCCATCTTGAAATTACCCTCTACAGATTGTACTATGCTTGGTACACTAGGCTCTTGAAATTACCCATCTTGAAATTACCCTTGGTACCACTCTACAGATTGTACAGATTGTACTATGCTGGTACACTAGGCTTCATCTTGAAATTATTGTACCTCTACTTGATTGTACTATGCTGGTACACTAGGCTTCATCTTGAAATTACCCTCTACAGATTGTACTATGCTGGTACACCAGGCTTCATCTTGAAATTACCCTCTACAGATTGTACTATGCTGGTACACCAGGCTCCATCTTGAAATTACCCTCTACAGATTGTACTATGCTGGTACACCAGGCTCCATCTTGAAATTACCCTCTACAGATTGTACTATGCTGGTACACCAGGCTCCATCTTGAAATTATTGTACCTCTACAGATTGTACTATGCTGGTACACACAGGCTCCATCTTGAAATTACCCTCTACAGATTGTACTATGCTGGTACACTAGGCTCCATCTTGAAATTACCCTCTACAGATTGTACTATGCTGGTACACTAGGCTTCATCTTGAAATTACCCTCTACAGATTGTACTATGTTGGTACACTAGGCTCCATCTTGAAATTACCCTCTACAGATTGTACTATGCTGGTACACTAGGCTTCATCTTGAAATTACCCTCTACAGATTGTACTATGCTGGTACACTAGGCTTCATCTTGAAATTACCCTCTACAGATTGTACTATGCTGGTACACCAGGCTTCATCTTGAAATTACCCTCTACAGATTGTACTATGCTGGTACACTAGGCTTCATCTTGAAATTACCCTCAACACATTGAACTGTTTTACTATAAGAGGCTTCATGTAAATCCCATCAAAAATTTACTTCAAAAGATATCACAAAGACATTAGTAAGAAGAGTGAGAAATATTTATTGTGTAAATTTCTAGATCCCTGCAAAGCAGGCACCAGCAGAGAGTTCAGTTTAACTAATCTGTAACTCACTAAACACATTCCTGTCACAAAGATATTCATAGGTACAAATCCCACTTTTGGTACATTGTAGTCCTGAAGCATTGTACTAAATGAAAATATCTGGCAAAACTCTTCAAGAACATTCAGGAGACCCAACAGCTTCCTCCACTATACAATACACATCAGCACAAGATTAGTGGTTGTACAAAAATATATTTTAAAAATAAAAGTACCATTTTCTTTGGCTATAACAGAGTTTGGTTCTATGGTTTTGATTCAGGAATGTTGTACCTACACAAAACAGCTGGTGAATATTGATGTAAAATCCATACACTAAAATCAAATGCTGAGATAATCAACTCAAATACAAATGCTGTGAAATATAAGTATTAAAGCTTGAAACACTTTTGACTTCATAAGTGGTGTTATAATGCTGATATTAGAACTCATAGACGTACTGCTGGCTGAGTATGGTTTTACGCCGCTTTTAGCAATATTCCAGCAATATCACGGCGGGGACACCAGAAATGGACTTCACAAGTTGTACCCATGTGGGGGAATCGAACCCGGGCCTTCGGCGTGACGAGCGAACGCTTTAACCACTAGGCTACCCCACCGCCCCCATTGACATACTGGAATGTAGTATCACAATATTGAGAGTGCCAGTCCCCGTCTTTTGGCATCCAGCACACCACATAATCTATATGTTATGCAGTCAAAAAACTATTTCGTCCTACCAGTCTACACATTTGCATGACTTAAGGGGCTAAAATGCATAATCAAATTGTTGCTCTTTGTAAGATAATAGAGAAAATATGTTCCAAGAATGAAATACTGACTTCAATATACTAGATAATATATAATGACATCAAGCGTACTGTACTGCACTGCAGTATTTAGAAACCCACACAAGTTGGCTCGAAATCCAGGATACGAAAATGGGTTTGGCACCCTCACTATTTTGAAAGCTATGTTTAAACAAAACAAAGGTCACACCTGAAAAGACACAGTGAGGCTCCAATTCCATCCCATCCCTTTATTGATTTCATATTGCAGATCTTATGAGAGATAACTCATTTGTTTATTCATCCTTTTATAAAAATCATTTGAATTAAAGGTCTGTGTTGACAAGAAGCGAAAAATGAGCTGAGAGTTACCCACCCTTGTTTTCAAACTTCCAGGAGAAACTGTCAAAAGAAACAAAAACACAACATAGAGTTCCTGGATCTAACGGATTTTGATTTCATGGTTATAGATTCCACAAAAATGGCCATAAAATGTAGAGTGTCAAGCAAAAAGGGTCACGACATTGGAACCACAGGACATTGGTCTTTTCACCCTCATCTTTGATGATCATCTGATGCTAATTGAAATAACAGAAATGCAGTTCAGAGTTCATCTAAAAATATGCATGTATATATGTCACTATGACAGCGAGTGCAATACACCAGGCTAGAGCCTCTTCCATAAACATGGAGGCAGTGCTTCCCACTGTGGGCAAGGTGAACAAATGACAAGAATATTTGCAAAAGCAGTTTACTCAAACTCAGTATGGACCAGAATCTCAGACTTCAATGCAACTCTTGTTTACATATTCTTCGTGTTGGTTCATTTGGGGTTAATGTCCTTTAAAAATACTAATTCTTATTTTTCTTCTTGACAAAATTAGCAAAAGGTCAGTCAATATATTTGTAATTATTTGAAATAATTAATTATTTGATTAATTTCAAACACTGGCTGACCGCTTTTCTCCTCTCCCTCCTCCATACCCCGCCATATCCGTTCTGAAATTGAAGTCATTAGTAAATATTTCGACAGTTCTATCAAGTTCAAGCACATACAAAACACATCATGCATGAAGCAGATAAACAAGATACACATTAGTATCACAGTCTCTGGTTGCATAGTGGCCAGTCCCTATCACACGTCTTTTTGTCTATGTACAAAACAAAAATGATACACACAAACAAACAAACTCTAATGTGACAAGAAAACACAAAAGAGAAAACAGATTCATTGACGATTCTAGCATAATTGCTCTTGATCTTCGTCACAGGAGAGGACAAGCTCACACCATGATGGCCTATCAGGGTCACTTTGACCTTTAGCTGCAAATATTAATCTTCTCCATTTTTAACAGACCAGAATAAATATCATCTGCATGTTGTGGAATGACAATAATCAACAAATGACTTCATCTGATCAAATTTAAGTGACTTAAAATATCTGGTTATAAGATTAAGAACAAAAGCTCAACAAATAATGTATAAAATAGAGACTGGCGTAACAAAACGATCTCTGACCAAAAGATTATCACAGAAACATTTGTACATGTCTTTTCTTTTGGCACAGGTCACCCAACACGAACTCTCTGGGTTTTAAAAAATTCAAAACCAGATTTATTCAAGAAGACGAAACAGAAACAGAAAGAAACAAATAGCAATGAAAACAAGTATAATACTGCTTGGAAGATTAAACTCAAGAAACACTATGTCATAGCTGAATATAAACAGATTGCACATATCATAGCAACAATAGAATAAGATGACAGAACAAAACATGAAACAGATAAATACTAATGATTATGATACATTTCATTGCATAAGAGTTGAATACTGTTTGAAAGCACACGCAGTTGTATCAATTTCATGATCACACTTCACTACAACTAATTGACACTCAGTTTGTATATTGCATGTTCATACATGTACATTTCATGTGAGTCTGCCTCGATTACGAGTATGTCCTTTATTGCAGTAGATATTCTACAACTGGTATATACACCGACCAAGAATTCAAGGAGCCATCAAAAACCAAAAAGACTAATATCTTAAACAAACATCTTTAAAAAAACTATTCCCAATAATCTCATCAAACTTACTCAAAATTAGAGCCAATTCAATCTCTTAAAGATACTTCATCCTTCATGAAAACCATTAAAAAACTTCATGATCAAATAAGATAAGATATTTTCCTTTTACGATATCAAAAGTCCAAAAATCGAAATATTTTTCCACATAAAAACAAAAATATTGCAATAGGCTCTTAGTCTTAGTCTATCAGAAGAAGCTACCATTGATCAAATGCATCATGCGAAATGATAACAAATTAATAGCAAACCAGGTGATGATTCTATAATTTACATATTATATTTCCTATCTACTCACTAACAGCACAAGGTACATCCCGCATATTTAACCCTCTGTCTGTTCTTCCGTTATATCAGGTGTGGGAACATCAACCCTGATAGCTTCAGACTCCACAGTTATCTGCCCTTGATCTACTGGGACGCCATCTTGTTGTGGCATAGGTTCCTCTTGGTAGGGTGTAGTCCTGGAGGACTCCAGACCTGACTGTCTAGCTGACATTGGGCGGGTAGACTGTGGCCTTGATGAAATTCGACCTGAGGCAGGTCGGGGAGATACTGACCCTCGGGCTGACATTGGTCGGCCTCGTGTGCCAACAGGAGGGGTTGGGGACCCTCTCATGGGGTCATTGTCCATCCCCGGCATCTTACGTTGTGTTCTTGGGGTTGCTGGTGATATCGCGCCTACCTACAGTCACAAATACATCAAATGTGAATCAAAACAGTAAAAGAATGAACTTTTCCAAAATTTCTTACATTAACAGCAGACAAAAAATATAAGAGCTGGAGTAGCGAATCCTAGTTGACCAACATAAATGATCTGACAAACATTCAACATCAATTTGTACTATTCCATCATATTTAATATAATTCAAGCACTGACGCTAACACAAATGCACGTAAAGCATTTTGCAAAGGATTGTTACTGAAGGATGTCTTTTCATACTGCCTAGAATTCAATTGATAATACAATCTGTTTTGTAAAGCATTTAAGACAGAAACAGCATGGCACAAATGATTATACAACTGGTTCATATTGCATTAAACAAAACTTGAATATTATAACATTATTTGAAGTTCAAGACCTTACCTGATTGATTGACTGTGGCGACATCTTGGACGGCATCTTCGCCTCAATCTGCATCCTCTCTATTCGGCCACGGTATATGTGACCATCTACTCCCTGTACATCCACCTCCTCCCTGGAAACACACAGTTTGATGTAACAGCACACACATACTGAGCCATCCTACTCAGCATGTCTAGGATGTAAGTACACAAACAAATCCATTCCCTACAATCCATTATGTAGTTGGTATATTGCTGGGTGGAGAGTTAGACAAAATATACAAACATTCCAACAATTTTTAGAAGAGTAATTCTAAACTGACGCTAAAGTAACACACACAGACCCCTGCTACATCCTTGTGAATATTTGTTACTACCACCAAGATCTGCATCATAGGTGGCTCAATTCAGGCTCGTACCCCGAGCATCCATGCTCACGCTTGGCGACCCTCCTACTCATTACGGCGTGACTCTTTATTGTTGCAATGGTCCAGTATAGCACTCTAGTGCCATCCATTTTCAGGGCCGACTGATTCAGCAATAAGACCATACAATATGCTGGAATATTGCTGAGTGCAGCATTAAACAACAAATCAAGCAACACCTGGCTACACTTACTTGTAGATGGGGTACACTGGTACAGGTGCCACTTCTGTTTCCTCCTTGAAGAGATTACTGAAAACACAGGTTTCAGCAATCATACAGATGGACCAAAACCAACATGATGATATTTTTTAACCAGGTTAGTGTCTTCAAGACTGACAAGGAGCCAAACAACTGAGTGTACCCACAACTCATTATTCTTTCATATAATCCAACATTGCCAGGAAATGTTTTGCTGTTTCTTTTATCAACCTGAGGACAAATTTCTGTCTTTCAAGAATTTTTAGGTAAAGACAATTTCAAATAAAACAAACAAGACCCACATTTCCAATATTCTCTGAAAAACTATCTTCCTCAAATTGGCCTTATGCAGTTAGTTTCTGACAAAAAATGATTTCTTAAATGTGCATACAACTGACAGCCTACAAAGAAATTGGAAAGTTTTCTACAACATATAGATCCACAGTCCCTCTGGGACTCCCAAGTGCTATAAACAGACCACAATGTTAAGCCAATGTTACCATTTTCAGTTGAAAAGCCTTGTAATGAAATAACCAATGTGTTACTGCATAAAATCTACCAAATGAAACACAAATAGTTCCCTCTCTATATTATAATCTGTCTACCACAACTCTTAACTGCTAGGGTGGGTGGGGTAGCCTAATGGTTAAAGCGTTCGCTTGTCACACCGAAGATCTGGGTTTGATTCCCCACATGGGTACAATGTGTGAAGCCCATTTCTTGTGTCCGCTGCCATGATATTGCTGGAACATTGCTAAAAGCAGCGCTAAACTCACTCACTCACTCTTTACTGGAATCATAAGGTGTGTGACATAAAGGGCATGATGAGGACTAATCCATTTTAAACCGGGGGTAACAGGCAGTGGGTGGTGGGACAGGTCAACTGTTGCATTTGTGATTTAGTAGTATGGGGTTCGACCTGAATTCATTCATCAACAGCTACACAGGTCATCAATTTCTATAATTATCATCATGTCGATATCATTACTCACTCACTCATAACTGCTAATAATGCTCATTATTATTCCTGCCAGTTACTGATATTTGTCCATTTCAAATTTGAATGCTAAAAATACTCACTTCATCTGCGTCATACGAGACACCTTCTTGTGGGGATAGGTTAAGGTGTGGTTCCCCCCACACTGTCGTGTTGTGGCATAGTAGTCGGTGATGTCCTGCTGGTTGAAGCTGAGGAGGCAACAATTAGCTGTTATCTAATCCTTGTGTCACTCATAAAGAATGCAGGGTATTGTGGTTGCATGTAATTAAAACAGCCCAGTCAGTATCCAGCAACAAGGAGTGGTTTTGTATAAGAACATTGTTTAAAACAAAGTGTATCTCTTAAAACAACATCATCAGATGATCAGTGCATTTTGGTAGAACTGTAGACCTATACAATTCAAAAACATAAGTCAGTACTCCTGATTTGTTAAAGAGACATTATGTCGACAGTTCTTGCTGTTTTATGTTATCACACCTTTGGTTCACCTTTCTGTTTGAAGCAAATTGGAGAGAATGCCTGTGCATTTTTACGAATTACTGATCAACACAACACAGTAGTAGTGAGTTTACATGGACCAGAAGCCTGTGTTTATCAAAGCCTACATAACGATATATATACCTCAGTTATATGAATCATATCACATGACAAAACTCTGTCCTACTCTGAATTCCCTACAAAAAGCCGTTTACACAAAACAATATGTAAAGCGCACACTGAAAGGCTTGCATTCCTCCTGTCTGTTCTTATTTCAGAATATGTGTTTAGTTACAAACAAAAGAAGTCTGGATATCTGATATAATCCTACAACTGCACCATGGTCAATAGTGCAGAAACTTCTCTTGTGGAATAAGGCAAGCAGAGCTGAGTAAGCCAGGGCCTAGATTTTCGAAGCTCTCTTAGTGCTAAGATAGTCGTAAGTTAACGTTAATGTATGGCACTTACGACTATCTTAGCTCTAAGAAAGCTTTGAAAATCTAGCCCCTGATTTTTTATCAGCTATTGTTTACAAACAAATGCTTCAGAATGGTCAACAAACTGGCTCGCAGTAAACTTGTAAATCCTTATTAATGTTAACAAAGGTAAGATACTTTAAGGATGACAAAACTATATTATATCATGATGCGATGTTTCGGTATAGTTCTTATACCATTGTCAAGCAAGAGCCCATACCGAAACATTGCATCATAATATAATAAACAAGTTGTCATTCATAATGAGTCTTACCTATTTCATTATTCATCATCTTCTAAAATGCCAATCAAACAGATCATATCAATGTTGCTGCACTGTATATTTTCACAGACCAACATCAGACATGACCTAAATTCTCAAGCAGGTCATAAATATTGTTCATCAGCATCAACAAACCAACAAAAACATCAGGTTAGTATCAAGGCAAACAAATGTGTTAGCAAATAAACAATGTTCTAAAATGCAACAACATAAAGAGGAGAAAGAACGGAATGTGTAGGGAAATCCAATTGGCGATGTTCCCATGCTGACTTACATGGCGCGTTCTCTCTTCTGACAGCGAGCCAGTGCTTCTATGTCCTGGCCAAAATGAACAAGGAACGCCTTCAAGTCGGCACGCCTCATCTTGGCCAGCTTTTTGTCAGCAAGAGCACGCTCAAAATTCACCATATTGGTGCCAAGATACCCACTACAGATAGAACCAAGAGAGACAGAAAGACAGAAAGGTGAGTGAAGACAACGACATGGAACATTACAGGGGAGTGGTCAATTTTCAAAGGGTAGACTGTATAGTGAAACACTGATGTCTATGGAGCTTTCGTGCATATGGTTGGCTCATAATTCAGAATTATGGCACCAATTGTCATTAATTTATGTACTTTCCAATAGACCCATAATGATTAATGAAAACACAATATCACGATTATTGTATCCGAGTCAGGACTTATGAAGTCCGTGACTTTAGCTATTAGTCTGAAGCCCAGGGATTAATCTATAATTTCAAACAAATGTATACTGGGAAAAATCATCTATGGTGTATTGATAAACAGGGGTGTAGCTACCATTATAAAAAAAAGCCCGGCTTACACATGATTGTTGCTAAAATGGTTGGGCAAGCCCTCAATACTATCTAAATATAAAGCTTTGCAACCCAGCAGGCTTACACGAAAAACATGGCTTGCTACGTGCCTGATAAACATTTGGAATTTTTCAGTTTATGTTTTTTTATAATAAATTCAGCATTTTAACACTGCTTGAAAACCTGCAATATAAAACTATCCATTAAGGCTTTCACAACTCTGTTGATCCAGTAATCAGTTAAGTAAATGTCACTCCCACAAAATATATATATTTGTATATCCAATACAATACTGGTAGTTTATTTACATTAACCTGAAGTGAGAAATAGTTTGTTCCAATTTGTAAGTTTTTACTCAAGTTAGTTGCATACTTTTGTAATAGTGGCCTAGCTGAGCAGGCATAGTTAATCTGTGGAAAACCAAGTCAAGGACAAATATAATTTGGTCCAGTAAACTATGTTCACATGCTAACACTAAAATCTACTAAAAGTGTTGAAATAGACCACATTAAGGTTGCAATACTAGCCCCTTTCCCACCTTAGAAAATTCCTTATATTTTCTTATGGAAAAGGAATTTATACCTTGGTGAAAGAATTTATAATACCAGTTCAGTAGCCAGTTTCAAAGACCACACTGAAATATTTTCAGAAAACTAATAAGAAGCATCCTGTGGAGTAAGACTTGATTCAGATTTGGTACTTAAATTTCAGTTTGAGAGGTGACTAAATTATGGTATCGGACATTTTGGAAAATTTAAATGACACTGAGGACCCCTGCTATTACATTTATCATTGCATTATCAGCATCTTTCTATTTATTGCAACACGTCATTAAGTTCATTGCTAACTACATACCTTAAATAGTAAGTAGGATAAATATCACTCACAAAGATTTTTCCTTTGATATCTCAACACAGTTTTCTTCAAATAGTGTATAAGAGTCATCACTGAGGAATATGTATATTGTCATCAAACAACCCTTTGAAAATTTCAAACCATGCACTTCAAGGATTGAATACAGTTGGGACAACTATTAGTAACATAGTGCGTGAAATAAGAGGACAATGGTGCTGGACATGTAATGGGGATTAGGAGTGACGTCTGCCATGCTCAATGAGGTGCAATCGCAAACTGAACCAAAATGGGGGAGAAGTTACCGAAACTGATGTGAAGAATGCTGTTTGTCAACTACCCCTTGAGTTCTAATCAAGAAAAAACATTTGATGAAGGTGAGCTACAGCCATTACACAAAAACACAACTGCCATGCAAAGGCAAGCAATACAAATGGTGTATCTGCACAAACAACCAATGATAAGAGACAGATTACAAAATGTCATGAATTTGTTTTTCCCTCATCAGCAATGATCGCACTGTTGCATGACTGTAAGGAGATACCAATGGAAGACACAGCACCAGGAAAAGCGGCGAGGTGGATGATGAGAGCATAAATCCAGGTTGCCATGGTTATCAGGGTACAGAGACACACTAAATCGTTCAAGGTAACATGTCTTCTCAAGAAACAGCTCAACATGAGTTTTGGATCGAACCTTTCAGCAATAAACTGAATGAATGCATCATGAATGATTTGAATATACGCCATTTTATCTGAAAGCACAACACTTTTCTGCAGTGAAGCCTGAATTTTCTAGCAATCTACAGATGTTTGAATACAGTGAGAAGAAGCTATGTACAAGGTGCTATCTACATGGAAATGACAACCTCATCTGTCACTCACCTCTTGGCATTCTGACGAATCTGATCCAGCTCGAAGGTGGTGTAGGGTCGGGGTGACCTAGTGCCCGGGAGACCATTCTGACTTGGCAGTGATGGGACAGCACTGTTTGAATGAGAATACAAGAAATCACATTAACAACCAAGTCCTAAGTGTCAAACTTGTGATCTAAAGCATTACTTTGAAGCAGAAAATGTTCACTATTCATAAAGTCATACTGCCAAACTTTCATCCATTGTATATACAACATGTGTTTGTATTGTCTTTAATTGTATCTGGCTGTGTATTCTTATCAAAAATAAGTCATTGAGTGAGTTTAGTTGACACTGCACTTAGCAATATTCCAGCTATATGGTGGTGGTCTGTAAATAATCAAGTCTGGACCAGACAATCAAGTGATGAACAGCATGAGCATCGATCTATGCAGTTGGGATACGCTGACATATGTCAACCAAGTCAGTGAGCCTGACCACCCGATCACATTAGCCGCCTCTTACGACAAGCATGGGTTACTGAAGATCGATTCGAGCCTGTATCTTCACGGGTCTATCATAAATAAAACTACTTTTTCAGCATATATCCTGAAAAATTCCCCAAAAGCGGAATATTACTCGCAACATACCGATACAATAGTGCGCAAGTAACTTAGTGTCCACTCATAAACAAATAGACCCAGGGAAATCTGTGAAAGAAAATCCTTTAACTGTAAAATGGAGAAATTTGCAAAAGTGCTGAAAATAACATACATCACAGAATTCAGAAGCAAAAATTGTGGATGTTTACATCACTGTAGCTTCTTGAAATGGCATTTGCGAAAATAGTTCAGCTGTCTTACCCGGTTGGCATAAGATCTACAGGGCGGTCACATGACAGGCAGTTGAATCTCTGCAGCAGTTGCCTAGAAAAAAACATGCATGTTAGAGTCTTTTTTGAGAGGCATTTTAGAAGTTGTATAGATGAAGGAAAACCAAGTTCTATGGATAGTCAACTTCTTTATTGCAATGAGTGACACGTTTCGGTGTAGGTACTAACACCGTTATCAAAAGTCATCACTTGCTTGATAACGGTGTTAGTACCTACACCGAAACATCGCATCATTGCCATAAAGAAGTTGACTATCCATAGAACTTGGTTTTCCTTCATGTTAGAGTCATCGAACATACAGAGCAAAACAATTCAAAGAGAAACAACAACAGCTACTGACAGTCATGAAAACAAGGAAATGATATTGAAAAAGTAAAAGATAGACCATAAAGCAAACAGTTTACTGGGGATGTCCAAGCAGACACTATATGCTGAACATTTGAACATTGCCAGGTGTTCTAGAACACCACACCCAGCAATATTTCAGCTATATGGCAGCAATCTGTAAATAATCGAGTCTTAACCGGACAATCCAGTGATCAACATCATGAGCATCAATCTATGCAATTATGATACGATGCATGTGTCAACCAAGTCAGGAAGCCTGACCAACCAATCCTGTACGTTGCCTTTTTTTGACAAGCATGGGTTGACGAAGACCAGTTCCAACCCAGATTTTTCACAGGTAATCTAATTCAGTACTAAACTATTGAAGTTCCTGCATCATAAGCAAACATCACACATTATTGGTTTAACCCTAGTCGTTCACTCTTGATCAAATAACAAGAGGACACTTACTTCCTAAGTCCAGCAGCATCGTCTTCCGACCACTCGTTGCCAGCGTTGGCCATGATCTTCTTGTTGAGAGCCTTGAGGCGTGACTCCAGCCAGTCCTTGAGTGGGTCAATCTCCAGTCGGTCAAGCTTGCCCTCCACATCATTAGCCAACTGGGCATAGGCATCTTTCCAGGAATTCTCCTGGAGACAGACACAATAATGTAATTCCTTCAGCATGAACAACAAACAGACAAGTCACAGGTGGGAGTCACAGGTAAGTCAGCATGTAACAAGACATGGACCTGTCTAAACTGAACTCTTGTGATACTGCAGCATGCTCTTTGTTCATATTCAGTTATTTTCATTAAGATATTACTGATCCCTTGCAACAAAACTATGACTGATACTTCATGTAAACAAGCACATTCAGCAATCTTTACAATTGTATACAGAGCCTAGTAATATTGTTACTACTATTAACCAGAGCTCCAGATAAGATTTAGCTCATTGGGTACTGTACCCACTGTATTTTTTGGAGTGGGTATTATGAATGTTGAGTGGCTATTTCATTTTCCGTTACCCACTGCTTTCAAACATGTGCGTATTTCAGTCATTTTACTCACCTAAGTATTATGTGACTGAGTAAGTTTACTAAGCAGGTATGTTCTGCCTTATGACTATGTCATACCTAATCAAAACCAACTTAAATATAATGGAAATGAGTTCATAAAAAATCCCTCATCCTAAATGGACAGTACAGCACTTGTCCTATACTAACAGTTCAACTTGATAGCAATCGATGTCTTTTTCATTACGCAAGCGATTTTTATAAATATATTCCGTACGCATTTGTTTTAAACCTTTTGCGTATCTAACATTTTAAAGGCATAATTGGTATGCAACAATTATTTTTCAATGCCTAATTGGAAATTTTATATGCAAATTTTACCCGAATACGCAGCTTATCTGGGCCTCTGATTAACATAAGCAAATAAAAGCCATACAATAACTCTGAATTTACTGTAAATAGTGCTAAGAGACATTTTCAGGCTAGTGTACTAAGGTTTTGGTACAGACTGCAGGTTTGAGATTGCAATGATGAGGTACTAACATTTCCGTCCAACTTGTCCAGGATCTCCTTGATGATCTTGTTGATCTCGCCTGTGGTATTGTCAAACAGGCTGTGGTTCACCTTGTTGTCCAGCTGACGCTTGTCAGCTTTCTGTCGAGACACAAATAACAAACACATCAAATCAATACCCTCATCTGTAATAAACCTGTAGTGATAATACACAAATAGAGACAACAATTACCCACAGACTGTTGTAACTATAGCAAGTGCAATAACTTTGCATGACATCTTTTACTGGTTATCTAAAGTCTAATTAGACATGATTGGCTGGTATCAGGAACCATGTATTATCATCTATCTACAGGTACACGGCTGCTCTCCTGTCTCAGACCTAGATGAAGCTGATGTTGACACTCACCACATCGACCTCCATAGCAACATATTCCTTGTCTGCCTTCTTGTCCTGAAGAGTATCACAGTAGCCTAGCAGGTTCTGCAACACCATGGTTCAAACATGAGCCACCATCGATAATGTCATTTAAGCAATAATCACACTTTTAAAGTCAATGAGCACACTTTTATAGTCAACGATCACACTTTTACAAGCAATAATCACACTTCTAAAGGCAAAAATCACAATCATACAGATAATTATCATATTTTTCAAAGCTTGAAGTAAAATCCATTTGCAATGTCAAACAGGTTCACAGAACATATTTTACTGCCACAATGGCACCATATGTGCATCCGCCAAATGCATAAAACAGTCCAAACACAAGTCAAAATGACAGACATATCTACTGTTACACGATGTATAAACACTTAACTAGAGAAAAGATTGTTATTTACTGAGTCATAGGTAACTATGGCTGCCAAATTCAAGACAAATACAAGTTTGAATTATATTAAAGTCAGTTTAAAATTTTAGACTTCTTCATGGCCACATTGACTTGCAAACATTACAGCATTAGAAGTCTATAAAAACTGCTTGTGAAAGATTACAAAATAACTAATAATCCCAACGTATAAGTAACTCATAACATTGTTTGTACTGTAAGAATAAACAGGCAACATTTCAGACAGTTTTGCACCTTCAATGTGTACATCTTTCTCCTTCCAGTCTGGGTAATGACTGACTGACTGACTGAGTTTAGTTTTACGCCGCTTTTAGCAATATTCCAGCAACATCACGGCGGGGGACACCAGAAATGGGCTTCACCTATTGTACCCATGTGGGGATTCGAACCCGGTCTTAGGGACAATCCAACACTTTAACCACTAGGCTACCCCACCGCCCCTGGGTAATGATGATCTATGAATCATGGCAATATTTATTTGTGAGCAAAGTATGGCTTTAACAAGCATCATATGCTTTTCATGGCAATATTTTCACACCATGAACAACCTAAGTCAGACTACAGTCGATGTAGCCAGATTCAGTTTTCCTGCTTTCTGGTGTGCATTCTACAGGGACAGAAAGTCACTTCTATTTTCAGTAGACACAGAGTTCCAGTACTAATGTTAATACTGGTTGTCCACACGGAAACACAACCAATCCTTTCTCAATCTCACTAGTCTCAGGTTAGTGCACTGACATTAATTTCAAGCACTGGATATATGAACGGAAACTTTCAAGACAGTGTGCTGTTTCCCACCTCAATCTGTTTGGAACGGTGCTTGTTTTCCTCAACGATGTTCTGCGTGATGTTGTGGAGTCGTTCAAGTTCAGCCTGCAGCTGCAGAATCGCCTGCTGAGCTCTGTTCAGAGCATCAGAGTCCTTAAAACATAATATAAGCTGTATAAGACCACACTCAAACAGGGTGAAGTGAAATTACTTTTATAAATTTCAAATTTGAAAAGATGTTATCAAATTATGAAAATATTAAATTAAGAAATATCTCAAATGTTAACATTATTTATGCCAACTAAGATTTAGCAAACATCATGTTTGAATTTAATTATGATACTGTTACAATGTATAGAACACTTCAATGTCATGCTTCGCAAACAACATGAAATAATACCAAAAATAGTGAATGGCAATAAAATCTGCATTACAAATGAATAAAAGGTGATAACATAGCATAAACAAAAGCATAAAATACAAGGGACCAGTTTCACAAAGCAACTGCAGTACAATGGCAGTAATAAGCCTATGTTCAGGAATTTAAATAGTTATAGTGCAAAAATTGCTTTGTGGAATTGGTCAATTCTGAAAAGTAAGTCATATGTTAAAAACAAATGCATTTTATACAATAAAAATAAGAAATCAGGAGCACTTCAACTGTGAATATTGAAATAAAATCTTCAAAGCAATCTGATGCAAAATGATGTTGTCTTGCTGGAGTAAAACAGCAGAAAGCAGTGATATTTTAACGAAAAGAACAGGATGAAGAGAATCAGATATAGGAGTACAAGTAGTGGTGGTCCTGGGGCGCTGATGTTGGCGCTGTCACGGTTGTTGTCATCAGGATGCACAGATTCAACATTTTTTATAATTTCTTCATTGCTGTGTCGCATCGTCGAAAAGCTCTATTTAGAAAAAGGTTGCTACAGTTACAAATCTACTAAAGACAGACATGCAAAACTTTACAACAATCACGGATATACACAGAGATTATTAAGCAAGAATGTGTATCATACTACAACAGTGTCAAACTTTCCCCTGGCAAGATGGTTCTTGTAAATTGTCATTACCCATTATATTCCTTATCCTTTTGAACTCCCCTTTAGAAAAGTGGACTGATCACGAGTGTCATAGTAGACCACGATTGATGTCAACAGTGTTCAGATAAGACACATAGTGTGACATCATGAGGCCTTAACATCACAGTAACATTAAAAAACACAACGTAAAAAGTGCCATCTGGATTATTAACACAATATAGTGGTGTGCGTGAAGTGATATCTGCACAAGTGTACATACAATTTGTATTAAACAGTTATCTTGGATGCTATGGGCAATAATTATGATAACATTCATTCTCAGACAGTAAACAGTTTCAGAATGAGATTAAGACACATTCATGACAATTTTACTTCTATGTGTAGACAAAAACTAAATATGAATTTAATACTTTCATATCTGACAATCATGCCAAAAAGTTTTTACACTGAGAATAAAATCTTCAGAATTTATCATGTTCATACAGTACGCTATTATTTGTGTTTTCTTCCATTATAAAACTCTTTAATTTGATTTAAATGTCAATCTTTCAAAACAGCTGAAATGGCTTCTCTGACTGTGAGGAACACTCACACTACATACCTCTCCTGTTTCCTACATATTTAATTATTACAATGTCACTTTTTTAGTTTATTTTTGGGGTTCTGTATGTTGTTTAAAACTACACTCAGTAATTTTTCAGCTACATGATGGTGCTCTGTATACAATCAAGTCTGGACCAGACAATCCAGTGATTGATATCATGAGCATTGACCTATGCAAGAACTGAGATGCAATGACAGGCATCAACCCAGTCAGTAAGCCTGACCAACCAATCCCATTAGTCGCCTCTTACGACATGCATGGGATGCTGAAGACCAATTCTAACCCGGATCTTCACATGTCTGCTATGACCTCCAAGCTAGCACAGTCAGATGCCACCATTTTGAAGTCAGGCATATAGGAGAGATACCAATATGAGAGAAAAATCTCTTCCCTGTTTCCACCAATTTGTGTATCAATTTGTAGAAAAATTTCTGTGCAGATTTTAGGTAAAACAATACAAAGGAAACTTGTTTCATATATATTTTACCAACAATACTGAAACCTAGAATAGATTATTATATTTTGAAACTTGTATTGTAGTAAGCCAGTAATACCATGCTAATTAAGCAATTAGTTATATGCTTAATACAAAAATATGCATATAACAAGAACAAAAAGACCTCTATTTCATTGTTGTACACTTTTGTTGCCTGTAAAAAAACAGGTAGCTCATTAATTTAATTAAATAATGAGAATATCAGGAGATAGAAGCCTAATCAAAGCACACCTCATTATTTAAATCTCATTTATTGAACACTACCAAACATACATGTCTCTGCTTCCACACATACTTGTCTATGCTCATGGCCAGAGGCTGGGAAACATGTACTTTAATCAGGGATCCTCCACATCACACCAGATACACCTCGTATGACCTGACACAAAGCAGTGTTGCAAGTCGTGCACATTAGATGGATGAATGTATAGCCAGAGGCATGACAACGCTCAAAGTGCAGTTGTAGCAGTCAATACAGTGCCTAGGGATATGGAACTGCTCTGACAATTCACTCACCAGAACACAGAAGTCATTCAATACAGAATGTTTGCTGTAGTTATGCAACTTCAGTGTCACGAGGCATGACAAATATAAGGCACTGAGCAGTGCTGAGTTCAGGGATACGATGACATATGTCAACCAAGTCAGCGAGCCTGACTACCCGATCCCGTTAGTCGCCTCTTACGACAAGCATGGGTTACTGAAGATCAATTCTAACCTGGATCTTCATGAGTATTATGGAGATAGAAAACAATTGAATTAAATTTGATGGTATAGGTACTGTGACACTTCTATTGCTTGGGATCTCTTTTCAGGTCAAAGCTATCACAAAACGTTAAACAATTTTATTTGCTTAAGCTCAAGCTTTAATTTGAAATTCAGGTAGGTATTTCATATTTGTTGCTTTAATAACTGAATACTTGAACAGACAATTCTTTCATAATGTTTCAAAACTAAGTGTATTGGACCATTCGGGTACTATAGATAGAAGAGTCATAACATTTTTTAGAATGACTGTTTGGGACAGGTTGGTTAAATATTCCATTTCCTTGCTTAAGATCACAGTGCAAACTGTCCACTAAATATTATGAAGTTTCCTGAAACCTTTAAAGAAATACATTTAGAGAATAAGACTCGCACCCAAAGAAAGTGAAATTTTTGTTAGTAAGACAAGAGCATGCACAAAAAAAGGCAACCAAGTTCAAACGTTAGTAAATCCACAACTGTAGATACTAATGCCAAACTCCTGTCAATCTCTGATGAAGTGTCGGAATTATACCAATCCATTTGAACTATATGGAAAAACAAGCTAAAAGCCCCAACTGGGAACTGGCATTCCTGGTAATACTGACCATGTCAGACAGTCCTGATACCCGCGATTTCATGAGGGCAAACTCCACACCTTTTGCCATCCGTTTCAGATCGTGATCCAGAGCACGTACTTTATTCATCACCTCCCCAATTTGTTCATCCAAGGCACATCTGAGCTGTTTCAGTTTTTCGTTTGTGCTACGCAACTCAACAGACGCCATGTTCAGATGATCAGTGCCAGATTCATCGTCTGTTGAATCATATAATGAACTGAACTGTCTGTCAACTGTTCCTTCCTCTGGTATATCTCTAATATCATGCCCTGTCTTCAAGTGGCCCTTTTCCTGTCCTTTGCTCTCACCTTCACTCGCAGGGTCAGTGACGTGGGTAACATTACTGGGTTCACGTGACAACACAGATATCTTCTCCTCCATGTCAGACAGGAATGACCGTAGGTCAGACACAGGTTCACTGGAGAAACCGCTGTCCTCAATTGGGTTCAGTATAGCCTGCTGCAGGTTCTTAAAATTGTCCTCCAGGTTTCCAAGACGAGAAATCAGTTCCTCAAAGGCTTCAGAGTCTGACACACGTGATCGTAAGATGGCCAGAAGTTCTTGACTGGACTGGTTATGTGATAAAGAAGCTGCTTCAGATCCAGAGGCTGTACCAGTGTCTGATGACTCTCCATCACTAGGAGGCTGGTAGGTGTGAATCTGCCCTGTTCTATCCTTAGACATACCTTTATTCACAACAGACCCAGTGGTTGGTAAAGTCGTGGAAAACTGCCACGAGTGTCAGGTGGAGAGCATTGGAGTGATGACAGTAAGAGTGTCATGTAGTGGAGGTATAGAAGTGTCAGAGTCAAGTGCAAAGCCAGGGTGAGATGTGATCAGATGGTTTGAAAGAAAGGAGAGAAGGACAGGCATTAGAGTGAGTGAGTAAGCATGACTTTAAGCCACTTTAGCAATACTCCTTACCACAATGATGAATTAGCAATATCACTACAATACTATAAGAGCAATACCACAGGGAGACGCCAGACATGGGCTTCACACATTCTACTCGTGTTGGCTAGGTAGTCCAAATACAGTTATAATACAAGCAGGACTCTATCTAACCAATTCACTGAGGCCTAAACAACTGCTGTGGTTACAAGTTTATTGTTTCCCATTGTAAATTTATAAAGCAGCTTAAACTGTAGAAAAAAAAAAACTTCACAAAACAACACAAGACAACAACCCTATATTTCATAGACTTAAACCACAACAGTTGTTTAGATCGTAGCAGAAGAGCTAATCATATCAGTGTATGAAATAAGGCCTGTTCAACCACCCGTGACGGGCTAGATTTCTGACGGACGGTCTAAATTTACAGGTAGCCAGCCCGATGGTCTGGTAAAAACTTTAGATGTTCCATACATCTGAGTAAATTCAGCATATTTTGGTGTCTGGTCTGGTTAAATCCATTTTGGGATGGTAACATTTTGAAGTTAACAGCCCTGATACATGGCTGTGTTTTTGACTAATTTCATACACTGATCATATACTATTTGTTTCACTTTGTGGAGAACCTAAACATGCTGATACAATTCTATGACACAGCTTATGTGTTTATGTCAAAAGGAATAAATGACTGACATGCCTGACTAGCAGTCTCCTCTCTACCTAAAACTACAACCTCCCTGTAGCTCACCTTATCTCTCATGGACTGCAGGGCATCAAGCTCCTCTTTCAACTTGTTCAGTTGCTCCATCAGGTCCCCTGAGATGTCTAGGAAGAACAACATCACATATGAACAGCATCCACCGTAAATAACGCCAGTGATGAACATCAACCATGAACAATATCAATTATGAACAATATCAGATATGAACAACACAGTGATGAACATGAGCCATGAACAATATCAATCATGAACACATCCATTGAACATCAGCCATGAGTAACATCTGTCCTGAACAACATCAGATATGAACAATACCAGTCATGAACCTTAGTCATGAAGATCATCAATCTTGAGCAATACGATCAAAAACAACATCAGTCTTGAACAATATGGTCATAAACAACCACTACTGATTATATTGCATGATATATAACTGTGTGGATGAATTTGTTTCTTTTACTTTGACATGGTTATTCCAATCAAACTGAACTTATAAAATGGCAGAATTTCTGACACAAAATTGTCCAATAACACTACTGACAGTTTTTTCATCGGGACAGAATATATGGAGTACATGTTATCAACAAAACTTTAGTCTATAAATAATAAGATAATTACAAAAATATAAGTCGTGTTAATATCTTTCATAAATGCCAAACCATTTTCATGAAAATGAAAATATGAGTGTACTTATATTCTAAGTTGCTATGTCATTGTTGCTACTCAGCTTCTACAAATTCTAAGATTGTAGAAAATATAAGGAATAAGTTACCCGATTTCAATTAACCATGGTAACAAGTGAGGTTAGTAGCACGAACATTTGAAACAGTTTGTTAGATTTTTGTTATGTAAATGTCATCTACAGTACCTAATGTAAGAACAAATGCAACTTCTCAATCTAGGAGCTAGCAAATGCCATACAAAACACTTTTTCTTTCCATCAGACTCAGAACCTAGTCATGAGACTGCCTGGTAACTATTAATTTCAACACATTAGAGGTGTGTTATTCTATTTACTGCCCTATGACACAACAAACTGAACTTCAGAGAGTTCTATTTGAAAGCCTATAACTACTGTCTCCTAAGCTATACAAATAGACATATACCAGGTCCAGGCATGTGTATGATAACTGGTTCAGGTTGTGCTGGAGGTGGTGAAACTGGTTTGACGGAAGTGACCTCAACTGGTTTTGGTTCAGGCTTAACTGGTTCCGGTTCTTGGACAGTTTCAACTTGAACAGGGATGACTGTCACAGGTTTGGGTTCAGGTTCAGGTTCGGGTTCTGATGAGGAGATAACTATTTCTACCTCAGATTCTATTGCTGGAGGAGGGGAAGGAGATTTAACAGGTTCTGGAGTTTCAACAATTGTTACACGTTTGGGGGAATCAGGTTTGGGCTCAGGGGAGGTCTGAGAGAATGTTGAGATCACTTCCACCCTCTCAATCTGAGGAGGCAAGGTCACCACCAGTGGTTCTCGGTTTCCGTGATTCTCAGAAAGATATGCAAGTTGTTGCACTGTGGGAACAAAATGATGTAAAGTTCTGAAATATTGTCTTTCAAGTATGATGCAAGATTTATTCCAGTTTGGATGGAATAGTTGCAAAAACAATACACAAAACATTGGCAGAACCAGGGAACAGGAGGTGCCCACCCCAATATTTTTTCAGACATTACACATAAGCAACAACATGAGGAGATTTTGTGTACTCCCATTTTTCAAAATTTATGTGTCTGCCTCAGCAAAATTTCTTTGCTAAAGTTGAACAAGGAAACAATACACAGAGTTAAGCATGATATTCTGAGTACAATAATTTGAGCTGTTTGGACCCTAGCCCTGTTTAACACAAAAAGCATAATGTCATGATCTTGATGATAACTTGGAGGTTTAATCCACAGAATACATATTGTTCATATATTTGTATGTATAGACATGTTGTGTTAATTGGCAATACAAAAGGTCTGCTTGAGTGATTAAACATTTGTGTCCCATCAGATAGTTTTCTGCATCTTCTATACAGATACTATTGGACATGAAATAATACTCAAACATAGGACATGTTGCTCACAGGAACAAAGGAGGATTTGTATAGACCTGCCAACACTGACAATGTGCCATAATATATCTGTCATAAATCAGATCTAATTCATCAATTTTTCATACTATCAACATGCCGTAATATGTTGTCATAACTCGGATCTAATTTATCAATTATTCAAACCCTGAAGTTAACTCCGGGTAGCAATAGGGCTCTAGCTGGAGGCAGGTAGTGTTATAATTCACAGAGGGGACAGTTTTCAATCAAATTCAATACAGTTGAACAACAGGGGGCACAGGGGCACTGTGGTTTCACATGTCACACTTCACAATACAGTATTGACTTCATATGCAGGAATCTGCAGGCGGTGCAGGTTTTGAATATCAACATAAATGTGCTTGTTCAAGGTTACAAAAATTCAGGCAAAACTTGTAACATTTTTTGGTAGATTACCATTTTAACCAATATGTAGAGTGAGTAAGTGGGTTTAGTTGTACGCCTCACACTCAGCAATATTCCAGCTATGTGGCAGTGGTCTGTAAATAATCGAGTCTGGAACAGACAATCCACTGATCAACAACATGAGTATTGATCTACGCAATGGGGAACCGATGACATGTTTCAACCAAGTCAGCGAGCCTGACCACCCTATCCCGTTAGTTGCCTCTTATGACAAGTATGGGTTACTGAAGATCAACTCTACCCCGGATCTTCACAGGTCCCAATATGTAGAAGAACAAAAACATTTTTCCAACACTTGAAACAAAGCTAAATTTCTAGCCCTGTCATAAGTTCAAATCCCAGTTATGGTTAGACATTATATATGGTTTGTCTGTACCATGTCCAAATACCCTGCCTGCGGGTTTTCAAGATGTGGACATAGTGACCTGCATCACCTGGACTTCCCTCCCATAATTCAGATAACTCGCTATATGTAACTGAACTCAGTAACTGTTCAAAGAAGCATCAAACCAAAGTCACTCCTTCACTAACTGGTGCGGTGGGGTAGCCCAGTGGTTAAAGCATTCGCTCATCACGCCGAAGACCCAGGTTCGATTCCCCACATGGTTACAATGCGTGAAGCCCATTTCTGGTGTACCCTTCCATGATATTGCTGGAATATTGCAAAACCGGCATAAAACCATACTCACTCACTCACCTTCACTCACTACAGCAGACAGTCTGGTTACTTACTCAGTCCTTCAAGAGCATCTTTGTCCAGTTTATTCTTCATCTGTTCCTGTAATAGAGATCAGATTCATTGTTACATGTATAGACATATTTGGCCACACTTTGGGAAATTTGAGAATTGTATTTTAGTAACTGAAAGGGTATTACAATATAGAAACAAATCCGTCAGGGATATTATGGTATGTCCAATGTTGCCAGTGTGGAAGTAGGTCTGTGGCACAATACTGGACATATGTCAGAGAACACATTACCAGGGCCCTGTTCCACAAAGGAATCGCAGCGATAAGGCCATTGTAACTCCCAAACTTTAACGCAAACTTCTGATAGTAATAAGAGCACTTTGTGGAAAGGGGTCAAGTTAAGCTGAGTCTCTGATCAAACCTGTATGCCACTTGTCAGTGTCAAGTAAGATTCAGTTTGGTCAAGTAGACTGATAACAGTCCATATTACAACCATTCTTCTGAAAATGATGCTAGGTCTAAGAGCAAAGTTGTGGCACGCATATTCAAACAGGTAAAGAAAAAACTGTAATAATAGTGATAATAATAAATGGAACCATCAAATATTAAGACTGTTCTGGTGTCTTCAGTGTTTCATGACAGAGAATGAAAGTAAAAGGCAAAAAGGATTTGAAAAGAAAATGTTTTGACCTATTTTTGAAACAGTCAGTGTTTGTGATAACTTGATTTCCAATGTGAAATTATTCCGTCTAATAGTTGCACCATATTAAACACATCTCTTTCTGAAATTAAAAGATTTATATTCAGGTGTCTGGATCTTACCTGTAAATACTAAAGTCTGGACTAGACGATCCAGTGATTTGATATTATGAGTGCCAAATCAGGCATAATGTCACATTGTTAACCAAGTCCCAAATGTTCAAAGTTAAACATTCATGAGGTCCATTGATCCAAAAACTACAGCAGCAAACTTCAGGAACCCCCATTTATTTCAAACAATGCATGTTTAAATTTTAATGGTCGTAAGTACACCATGATAGACCTACTGATTTACAAGAACTTTGGTCTCCATCCCCCATCTCGGAGTTCCATTTCTATAAATATTACATCACGGTCTATCAAGACAAGCCTGATTTCACAACATCTGTACTTTAACAGGCAGATAACTGCACCAAATGCACTATGCATAAAATAGCGCTTTCTCTTGTCACTGACAGCCCTGTTAATGAGACTTGGCTTCCTCTTCGTGTCCTGCAGGTGTTGAAGCATGCGAATCTATGTCTTAATCAATAGTCAATCAATACCAAACAAAGCTTGTTTATAGTCCGATTCCAACGTGATTACTGCCACTCAGCTGGATGTCTGTGCACTCAATTACTCTGTAAGAGGTACATGGCTATGATTTGCTACTGAATGAGCTGTTATTCATATATGCAATGTACTTAATGTCCTAGAGAGGCAGAAAACGGCAAAGTGATAAAGACATGTATTTTGACAGACTGATAATTACGCCAATCAATAGACGTTTATTGCAACCTTTTATTCAGAAATCCATAATTTGCAAAAATAGCTATATTTTCTGTCCAAGTCACAACTGGTGAGTGAAAATAATAGAACAGCTAGAAGCAAGATGATAATCTTGTCATTCAGATTTTTCTTGACCATAGAAAACTAAGTAGCTTTTGCAGACATAAAAGGACATTTTCTTGTCGGAACTGCCAATTTAGCAAGATTAATATGATTAAAACACGCATGAATTGTTCCCATCCTTTTTATTGACAAAACTCTAGCCAGTCTAAAAAAAGTTTAAAATACACATTTCTTATCACAACTAACAAAGGTAGCTATGTTCAGTTAAGACTCAGTTCAATTAAAGATCTAACAGATATATCATACATGCAAGCAAACCTTCAATAACCTGATAAAGCTGTGATCAATTATAAGGTCATTTGTTGCTCTGGGTATAACATGAGTTTTTCAATAAAGAAAACCTCAATATCTTCAACAGTCTAACATCTGTGAGTGGCCAAGACCATGAGTCATTTGTCAGTGTGTGATCAGGGCAAGAGTGATGAAAAAATCTATGTGCTTTAGACATTATTCAGTAGTAGTTGTGAGACATTACAAGCAAAATTCTGCAATGTGAAGGCTTTCTTACCTAATTCGCATCAAGCAGGTTGAGATACATTAATCAGTACAACAAATACCCGAATAAGCTCAAGTGGCAATATTCCATATTACTCATTGATAATGAGTAAAAGATGTTCAACCCCTAAATCCATGTAATGTCTAAACTATATCACAGTATTCAAGGTGGACAAGGCATTGACAGCACCAGCTGTAAATTGGCAAGGAGAACAAAATAGGTACAGGCCTGATGTTTTAATAAAACATTCATGATGTGCATTTAGATTCTTCATCTATCTGTAAATGAAGCTGAAATGTGATGATTTTGATTAGTTACATTTAAGGGAATCATGACAGTACAAAGAAGTGTTTTCTCACAACTAACTGTAACAGTTATCGCCATTTCAGAATCTTAAAAGAATTATAGGATTCATAACTTTATCTTTAATTTTTCCCTTATGTTACGTACCGTGAAGAATTTTCCTTTGCTGTCCTTTATTGTTGTCAAATACCGTAGGAAAGTATACCGGAATTGTAATTGACCGTAACTGCACACATTTGATACTGATGTATTGGGGGTAACTGTTACCCGGCGATAACTGTTCGGCAGCCAGTGTAGATATATACATATAAGTGATAATAAAAACACAAAACATAATCCTACCTCCAGCTCCTCTACACGTTTAGTGAGGGCATCGTGGGAAGATGACAACTTCCCAATTTTCTCAAGGACTTCGAGCAGGTCATTTGAGGGACCTGAACTGCATGTGCTCAGACTTGACATTGGGCGTGATGGTGTGCGGTGTGATGAGGTAGGGCGTGATGGCTGCAACACAACATCAACATCAGACTACTTTCTAATCTATGTCATGCATCTCTGTAGACTGTGAGAAGAACATAATTTAGGGGTCACATGGGCGGATCCAGGAATTTTGAAAAGAGGGGTGGGGGGTGTGTTTCAGGTGGTTTGTACCCCCTGAACCCCCCACTGGCTTCGCCAATGGGTCAGGTATCAAATAAATATTCACATATACATGATTAGCAATAAAAGGAACCAAAAGTAAGGGACCGTTCATAATTTATGGCTAGGGTGTGTGTGTGTGTGTGGGTGATGATGATTTTTATGGAGAAGCATGTACAATGTGAATGACCCCACCCTAAAATTTATGTACAAAATAAGTGACCCCCTGCATGCCACATACAAAATCAATGACCCCCTCCCCTTCCCATAATTTCTAAGCATAATTTCAAACATCATACAAAATTGATGACCCCCTACAAAATAGGTGACCCCAGAACAAATCATCATCATTTCTCTCTCTCTTTCTCCCATAAAAATATGAGCGGTCCCTTGAGCATTTCCCATAATGCTAATGTCCAAAATCACCATTATTGGGTTATAGATTGACCACGAATATTTCAAATGCTAATGTCCAAAGTGATGAACATTTCAAGGTCAATTTTGATAATGCTACGCTAATGTTCAAAGTTTACCATTATAGGGCCTCTAGATTTATACACTATATCAGTAAACCTCAACAAGTAAAGAGAAAACCTCCCACTAAAGAGATAGTGAACTTCCCACAGATTTTCAGATCTGCAGATATGGAGAAAAACTTCCACCACAGTCATCTGCTGACTTGAAATATTATGGATAGGAAAGTCAAGTAGGTCTGTGTTCATGCAAACAAAATAATTGATCTCATTACATTAGGACTGAAGAAACATTAATCACTTTAAGACAGCCCAGTGTCAAGTTGCACAAAGCAATCTTAGTGCTAAGATCATTGAATCTCCAATACTCCATCACTGACTTAGGAAAGTTGCGGCAATAATCTGTAAAAATTCTTATAGCATTTATAGCTTATGTGGTGTTTGTAACCATGGTAACGGGTTGTATGTGCTTTCATCATTCTATCTATGTCATGCAAACACTACATAAAACTTAACAATGTGGGAAAATGCAACAAGACGATAAAGATGGAATACAATCCATGTATTAAAAAATCATGCACATTCTTCTTGGTAAAATCCTGCTGAAATTCCAGTATAAAATCCCATTTCAGTTCGTGATGAAACTTCCATAAGATGAGATTATATTCAGGTCATGATTAGATATTTCAAGTTTTATAAAATCTAGGTTCATAAAGCCATTTCTGATTCTAAATAAGAAATACAGAAAAATCATACCAGGGTGCCTTTGTACAAAGAGATCTTAGTGCTAAGGTAATCATAACTCATTCATAAACATAGACCTATGACAGGCATAGCACAGAGGCTGCTTCAAACAATGGAACCGAGTACATGAACTGAAAGAATTGGTCACTGCCACCAGAAATATGTTTGTTAACACAAAAATATCTTTGGTCATTTTGTCATAAATCATTCTTCTAATTGATGATGATAGTGCTGACACAACAGTACATGGTTAAAATGAACACAGACATACAATCTAATAACAGTTAAAGTAAACAATCTTCAGTCCCGATTGATGTTCTATTTGTTCTCAGATATTATGCATGTAAGCAACTGTGAACAGGGTGCCATTTTGCTATTTACAACCTGCACTGGTGCTAACAATGGCTGGTGCAGGTTACCTTCAGTAACAGGTTGCACCCGGTGCAGGTTACCTTCAGTGACAGGTTGCACCCGGTGCAGGTAACAATAAATCCTCCAACATCTTATAACTGTCATTGTGTGTTTTAATTGGAAGTGATATTTTTCTCTCTGCATGACTTGTTACAGTATGAACATTTGAGTACTCATAAATTAGTTACTTAAAGTACGAGGACGCTTGTGTCCGAGAGGCTAAACGTTATAATAGTTCAGGGCGAAAGTGTGTTTTATTACACTTTACATGGTGGTAGAGCGAACTGTATTTCTTTTCTAAGATGCCAAATTTAATACTTTCTAAGGATAATTACGATTAATTTAAGGCAGAAAACAAACGACGGTGTCGGTGACCTAAATTAAGAATCCTCGCACAGGGCTAACTGGCGCGCTGTTCTATTGATGTGTCTGTCCCCCTACGTTAAGACGAACGTTACCAGCAAAAAACAAATGATAACAGTTTGATGACGGTTTACGTTCGGATTAAATATCTTCTCTGAATAATTTTAATTACATCTGTCATTAACGTAAACCATATGGGGCAATATGAACGTCGTGTTTCTACTACCAACGTAAGTTTAGATCAGTACATCCAGATGAAGCTGAGTAGTCAAGCGACATTCCACTATTGCATTGTGGGAATGTAAACATTGAGAACGTTACTGTGTCGCTGAAAACTTGTGAGTCGAATTGACACATTTTAACCGTCGTAAAACATAAACGTAATGTTTCCACCAGTGATGTTAGCTGCGTGAAGCAAATGAAAACCAAGAAACGGGATGCAACAGAGTAGTTTACTGTAGGAGGCCGTACGGAGCGATGACAACTGACATGCATCGTGACGTCACTTACATTGTGACGTAATGTAAAATAGTTCGACTACGAGGGGGCACACTAGAATGGCGCAGTGACTGGATAACGTCATTCAATTGTTACGTCATCAAAGAACTACACCTTTATTGTCTGATAATGTATTTTATTTCTGATTGTTCTAACCGCTAGGCATCTTAGAAGTAGCAGTAATAATATAATTGAGATTTATAAATAAAGGAGATGCAAAATAGAATCATTTACCATTTATCATCATGGGGTCAGATTCTGATGAATGTATCTGATACTGAGTACTTGTTATGAAAATTGCTGATGATACTTTTTAGAACTAGTGACATTATTTTATGGTGCAACCAAAATTTTGATGGTGCAGCCAAACCTTTAAGCCAGGTTGCACTCGGTGCAGGTACTAAAAAAAACCTCCGAAATCACACCCTGATGAATAACCACTATTGTGAATTTACTTTTTCTGACAGAGACATATAAATTGTACAAATTTATGATTTTTCCTGGAGTGATGAACTGGTCCATCTCAATCAGTGTCAATGACCAGCCGAGTTGACTCAAACAACGGATGCATGATCCCATTATCACTGTGCTATGCTTACAAGATTAGTGAACTTAGCTACAATTACAATCAACAGTCAATCAATATCCACACCAATCAGCAGCATATAAGCACAGTCACAGCTTATTGTTGCATGCCTTGTGGTACAGCTCATAATATGTCAGTGTTGCCAATTCCAACCGTGTTAACCACCTGATCCTATCACTGAAACTATTATCACATATCTAAATGTCACTGAAACTATTATCACATATCTAAATATCAATGAAACTATTATCACATATCTAAATATCAATGAAACTATTATCACATATCAAAATATCACTGAAACTATTATCACATATCTAAATATCACTGAAACTGTTATCACATCTCATCTGCTGACGTCTATCACAAGCAATAACGAATGTCTGAAGACTGACTTAGCAAGGCAACTATCATACTTTAAAACAATTTTCGCAGCAAAAGTCAAATGGTGAGGGCAGCACTTCCCTCGTATTCCACATGAGACTATAAAAATATCTCTACGGAATATTTGCACTGTAGATCTATATTCTCACATTTTCTATGTAACCCAGAAACTATTTTCATAGTTTGATATTTTCAAATTGATATGAGTTCCACACACTTCGACTATGTCCAACACAATTTAATATGATCGTTTACTTAAAAAATTATTATGATAATATTTTACACATTTCAACACTAAAACTTAACAAGTACTTTTCAAATTAGCCATAATATTTGTCCATAAATATGACATGCTACAAAGAGTCGAGAATTCTAACCCTCAAACAACCTGCACCCTGTCTCTAAACTGCCATTACGGAACTGGTGGTGGCAAGCACTAACAAGTCATAGCAAGTCATTTGAGATGTTAAACTGCTCTGTATTTATAATGACCTCTTGCATAACAATAGGTTCACACTTCTAAAATTTTCACTCAAGCCTGTTTCAAACACAGTGACTGCAACAATTACTGTAAAACGAGACTATTGATACCGTAGGAATGTGGCCAATCACATATTGCTTCCTCACGACAGCACGGCGCAAATAGCCATGTCGATTACACGCTTGTGACATACCATCTATTCTGGTCACATGAGGCTAATGTGACAATTACACGGGTCTTAGGTTACAGCAGAGAGGGTGGGAGGCTGAGAGGCTGGGTTGAAGGGGATCACAAAGAATCAGTTGGGCAAATAGTCATTATAAGTTGCTGTACAAAATCTTTGCTTTAAATTCATGCAACATAATCTGAATTCCTATGTGTTGCATTAAGGACACCTTTGCATACCAAGTATACACTCAGAAACAACATTTTGTGTTTCAACTGACCACTCACACAGGTTAAGTAAAATAACTCTGGAGTGAAAATTGTACTCATGATGTTGGACTGATATTTGTATTGAATGCTGGAATAAATTCCATGGATGTTTGTATGTTCTAAATATGTGTGATGAACTGCTAGCTACTGAGAAATCTTCAGCATATGTAATCATATGATGCTTGTTTGTTGTTTAACGCTGCACTCAGCAATATTCCAGCAAAAAGGCGGCAGTTTTTAAATAATGTCTGGACCAGACAATGCAGTGATCAACAGCATGAGCATTGATTACGTAATTGGGATACGGTGACATGTGTCAAACAAGTCAGCTAGCCTGACCACCCGATCCTTTTAGTCATCTCTTACAACAAACATGGGTTGTTGAAGACGAATTTCATGGGTCGTAATCATATGCAAAGTTAAAACAGACTCTCAGCTAATACTATTGCAGATTTCAAAAGATATTTTCAGATTGGACCGATATTTCACAAAATTAGCCTCCCTTTTACAATAAAATCAACATTAATGCAGTTTATAATATAATCAGTCCTTAGTACTTAATCTTGACTACAGATACTTACCTAGGGTCATAACAATCAGGTTTATGTCTATACTATTAGTCTAAGCTATGAGCAGATTTCACCAGCTTATCAGAAATAATTCTCGTCAGCTACCATATCATATTGTTCTCAAAACTAGCCCTATAGCTGGGATCCAACTACCAGATTTCACCTAAAATTATGAACAGTTCTCATACCAAATTGTCCAAAATGTTTTAAAAACTCATTACATGAAAAGAAATCATACTCTACAATATCATAATAAAGACCACTCTGAAAAACATATTCCTTGCCCTACACCTAATGTTAAAAAAAATTGATGGTTGCCTCGAAAATGTGTAATACTACAGTAAAAAGCAACAACCCAGGATCAGTTAACATTCTAACACTAAATATCAGTATGACTTGGTTCATATCTTATCAATAACCAAACAATTTCCAGGTAAAACACAAATCATTTTCAAGAGGAACTACAGCATTTCCTGGAAACCAACATCTTTGCCCCAAGGGACACGTTGAAATGTGTGCACAGATCTTGTTTCAAGGTTTACTAATTGGCTGAACAAAATGATGGGAAAATGGCCATGCCTAGACTAAGGCTTAGTCTCTGAATATATATAATTTTGATAGTAACAAACAAGCCCATTTAAATTGAAAAGGAGCCCTAGGTACACCAGAGATCCTGAACCTGGGGAAATCTAGACTTGCTTTATTTAGGGCTTAAGCACTGCAGAGAGGGCTTGGCAATGGGGAAAATAATGTGGTTCAGGGACTGTGAGACAGACTAGGCCATGCCATGAGACCATAGCACTCAGGAGACTGTAATCACTGTACTAGCATTGTAGACATCAGGGAGAGTACTAATACCTGCTACATAAACGGGGTGTACTGACTGCATGAAATCCTAACACCCTCCATACAACAGGGATTGTAATAAGGTAACAATGTATGATTAAATGGGACTAGTGTAATCTTCCCAGGCATGACCAGGTTGTAAATTGGCTTCTAAGCTTAGCATGTGGAATATGGAATTAAGGGTCAATCAGTCTATGAAATCCTATTTAGTTTAAGATAATTGTATTAGACATCAGGTGGCGCCATACAAATCTCATTGTATCAGTATTTCCGGTGTAACATTCAAGTGTTTTGGTTTATCTTGCTTGTCACAGAATGAACTAATTGGAAATGAATTCATTTCATATTATTTGCTAATGCATACACAGCAATATATATATGATTATATATAAAATACATAGATATATATATACTGAAAGGCAAAAGAAACGTCGCAATATTGGAAATGACATAAACCAACAGATGTAATTGTTTTTCTTTATCCAACCATTGGGTTGAGAGGAGTAGTGGTACAACAGTCTATGTTATTTTAGAACTGAGATTTCTTCCATTTCAATGTACAGTTTTAAATACATGGATCAGCATGCATTTTGTATTTTCCTAATATAAGGTGATTTCTGTACAACACACATACCACCAACAAATTATTCCCTGGTAATTGTTTGCAGGGGTTCAAGGTCTGGCAGGAAAACTATAAGCTGATATTCTAAGCAATGGAAGAAGGCTACCATCGCTTAATATATTTTCTTTAGAGAAACTAGAAAGAAACTCTAGCAAAATATATGTTACAATGTAAAGACTTGAGTTTTCTAAGACAGGCACATGAATAAAACACCTAATAATGGCTAATGTCAATGTAAGATCTTTAATTTGCACTATGACTAAATTCTAATGCATAACAAATACTAAGAATATATTCCTTCTTCAGCTCCCATGATCAATTCTACAAAAAGACACAAAACCTGTTGATAATGTTTGATTGCTTACCGCTCTTTGTTCTGTCTGGCTGCCCATCTCAATGACAACTCTCTCTTGGGGAGGTACCTGAAGTTCCTCGAAGTCCTTCCTCACCCCCTTCAAGGCATCCTCTAGGAGGCCAGGTCACAAACTGGGCATAGTCATCAGCGGTCGGCAGTGTGCTGAACTTGTCATTCAAATCATTCTGTAAAGACATAGTCTTTGACGTAACCACTAGCCTGAATCCTGAGCCAAGTACATCTTTCCCTCTAGTCAGAACAGTTAATGCATATGTTGTCCATACAAACACTACTGTAAGTGAAAGAAATGATGACAAAAAGAAAAACTTGTTCGGATCGTCAGTGAAGTCTCTGGCACAGAAACACTCTTGCTTTTTCTAGACAATTATCAAACAGTTGATGTTAACTGATTATGAGGCAAGACGCACATAACAATGCCAGAATATGAGTTGTCATACAATATTTGCACATTTACCAAATACAATCTTTCAATTGTCACCAGGCTGACATAGCTAACATTTGGTCTTGTGGACAAGGCATTCGACCTTGAATCAGAAGGCAAGTTGTTCAAATCTCATCATAGGATTCAGAATTATTTTCAAAATACAAATACTCACCGTAACCTTTTCCAAATCCGCTAATTTCTTGTTTAGTTCATCAATATTCAACTATAAAGAAAGTAAAAAGTCTCAACACACATACTTTTGACAATATCATGAATCATTTCATGATACATAATGCATTTCATTATTATAACATAAACATATAACTGTGATCCAATCTTCATATCAGTTACTTGAAATACAACCTTATTCATTCAGAAATTCAGAAATGATATTTCTTGCAACATGCAACATTTTTACAAATTCAATGTGCTTGAAAATTGCTTGTATCAAATAGCTTACCATTTAACAGGTCAGTGTGTTCAGTTCTTCATTTTATGTATAAACATTCCTGGGCTACTTCATGCCACTTCAAAGGGTGAATAATTCCAACTAGTGTATAATAATTTCTAAAGACTCCAAACTTGATGCTTAAAGAAAATGTATGTTTTGCACAATGATCCCTAGCAAGACCCAAACTCAGTTGACAGTTAAACCCGGTATTGATGATTTCCAGAAACATATTTAGCTGTAACGTGCATGTAAGGTATCCCTATACTTATTTACACTTACACTGTTGATCCGGTCCAGCAGATTGGAGTTTGTGTCTCGCAACGTCTGCATCTCTTTCATCAGGTCCTCCACTAGGGACATCAACTGAAACATTCAGGCCTGCCTTTGGGAAGGGTGAACAGCTATATGGTACTGTTAATGATCAAACAGTAACATAGAAAATGCATACACTACTTGTTTATGGTCTACAGATAGTCAATAAGTATGTTTATTGTCACAGATTTCACAGTCACTGCAGGCATCTGTATTCTCCTCTTCTCAGTATCAACTTCTTATGTCAGGGACACCATTAGTGAGCATGCTAAACACAACATGCTGTTGCTTGTTTGGGTTTCTTTGTTGTTTAATGTCACACTCAGCAATATTTGAGCTATATGGTGGAAATATGTAAATAATCAAGCTTGGACTAGACAACCCAGTGATCGACAGCATGAGCATCAGTCTACGCAATTTGGATACAATGACAGGTCAACGAAGTCAACGACCCTGTCCACCCAACCCCCTTTTGTAACATGCACATGCGATGATGCAGATTTGGGCATTAGCTGCGTGATGTTACATGCAACCAATTCCCTCCACTTTTATTCAAAATCCAAGAGCTGCCTTTGTCAAGGATAGTCATTGACAAACCACTCAGTCCCTCACTGATCAATATAAGTCAGTGTCAACATGGAAACAGCATAAAGGTTGTACCTAGATTAAAATTCAATAGCTACTACCTCCAGAACCCTTTGAAGTTAACCCCACTTATTTGCTATCACTACCAGATGGAGGAAGGGGTTATTGCAGGCGTTGCACTCAACACCTATACACATGGTAATTGTGCCCTCGGCTAAGTCACTTGACTTGGGTATTATGTGCACCACCACCCTTTTTTCAATATCCTGATCTATATTTCTCGAGGATAGAAAATGACAAAGCGTAAAATCCAATTTATCTACAGTAATAATAACAGTGTGGCTGCAATATTTCAGACTTGTGAGCATACAGCTGTGTGCCAATGGTTTCCATGTACACCATATCAATACATGAGTCAATACATGCAGCATAAAAATATTAATACTTGTTTGAATAAACCACATGCAGCACCTAGCCAAACAAGCTGTCATACACGATTGATTATGAAATGATAATCACGATAAAATTGATCGATCAGTTTGATGTATTACCACCAAGCGTTTGTATCAAATTTACAATCTGTGTGTGAACAGGACAATATAAGTATAACTAGATAGTCAGCCAAATGTTTCTGTACATACATAAACCACTGAGGCCCCTATTCAACAAGACGATCTTAGAGATATGACTGATTTAAATCCATACCTTAAACTGACTGTAAAAATAACACTGTTTGTTATGAAATCAGCAATTTTTAAAAGTTTTGACAATGTATTTCATATTAGGAGTCCTACTCAAATAGGCACTACAATATCTTGAAATAATAATTCAAATGAAGTTCATTGAGATCAGAAGCATACACTTTGTTTCTGTCAGTAGTTTTGTGGTTGTTTTTTCTTAACTGAATCAAAATGGAATAAGAAGAATCTTTAGCATCTCAGGTTAGTTTAAAAACTAAGTCGAACAGGCAGTTTCTATATAAGCTCTCACTCTTGACAGCACTATTTGTCTGGTGCTGAATATTTTGACATCAGTACCTGTGCTGGTTTGCGTTTCTGACTCAGTGTTTCACTTCCAGCTGATTTCAGTTTACACTTTTTATTTTACACTTTAAAACAATGAGGTTTAAGATTGGCCACAATCAAGTTCAGCAAACAGCCATATTTGTGCACCGTTATTCGTGTAAACATTTTACACAGGGGATATTAGCTTTTCTTCTTAAAAACCCCACATTTTTATGTCACAGTGTGATCTAACTCAACTGCTCATATCATACATACTTCTTTTTTTATAACAAAGAGAAAAAAAAAAACTCTTTCAAAGCTTTTGGGGGGGGGTCTTTTGTGTAAACACAAATAGGAAGTGAACAATAATATGTGGTAAAAAATACAGGCAAAGAACTTACATGTTTATTTTTGTCTTTCACATAAACATGTGGTCATTGGTATTATTGTTTTGCCAATATCAATGTCCTGAAAGATCCTGATTAATAATTGACACAAGCTGTCATGGTAAGCTTGATATCTCGTGTCAGGGCATGCATGAAGATATTTCGTGATATACTTCATTGCTGAATAGGGTAGTCCCACTCTTTGTTTTCTTGAATTGAAAAATATCACCTCAGTAGCACAGTACTAGTCACATGTGTTAATGTCCCGTTTTCAGGTCACAAGATGTGACATGATGGTGTCAATCAGACAGACTGAATATACATAGTTCATGAGAGTGAGTGAGTTTGGTTTTACGCCGCTTTTAGTAATATTCCAGCAATATCACGGCTGGGGACACCAGAAATGGGCTTTACACATTGTACCCATATGGGGAATTGAACCCGGGTCTTTCGTGTGACAAGCAAACGCTTTAACCACTAGGCTACCCCACCGCCCCTCATGAGAGTGAAATAGTGATTACCGTATATATATTCTAGACAACTTTCAAGCCACTGATCATACTATCTTTCTCTAACAGCTGTATCAAGTGGTACATTATTTGCTTGACTTGTGACAGAGATGTTTGAGTGCTTGCTGAGTACTTCAAGCATTGCCTGTGTGCGTCTGGTATCAAATAAAACCTATCATAAGTCATTTTCTGCCATACAAATCACCACACCCGTCCTGTGACCTAACACAATGTGTCAATATTCAGATATCCCTTCTCATTGCCTGATCTATGTGACATACATGATCTACAATTGTATAAAGTGTTTCCTCCAATACAAAGTCACTAGAGCAGGCAGTGTCTTTGCTAGGGAAGTACAAACTGTGATCGTTCTACAGATAACAAGTACTTGCCAGTTAATCAATCTGGGGTTCTCAGGAGATAAAACCAGTGTGATTTTAAACATGAGTCTGAAACTGGAGACTAGTCCAGTTTCTTCTTAATAGTCATACAAAAACTTAAATCAGCTGATGCCTAAATACAAAATTTGAAAATTTGAAAAATCTGTGAAAATGTTATTGTTGTCTGAATTAATTATAACAATTGACTTCAATAAATTTCTGTCTTTATTATAACTTAAATATATGTAGCTCCCAAGGATTAGTTTAGTAATTGCACCCACATCAGTATAGACTGGTGAAGATTAAATGTTTTTAAATCTGTACATATCTACATCCATAACACTAAACGAATTAAATAACTCTGTCTGTACATATCTATACCCTTTGTCTGCCTCTTGTTGAACTTTTTTGTATTATACACTTGTAACTATGTGGAGAGGGCTTATTTAAGTTGGATAACTTGTGCCCAATCCGTTTCTTAATTGAATAAAATATGTTTCAATCAATCAAGATTAACCATTAAAGTTAGCTATTACCCATCCAACGTATTTTCAGCTGATCAGTAATATTGGGGTTCACAATCTATATTCACATTTAAAGGGTCAAGCCCAAGAATTATGTCAAAATATCAGGTGTGAAGCCCATTTCTGGTGTCCCCTGCCGTGATATAGCTGGAATATGGCTAAAAGTGGCGTAAAACTGAACTCACTCACTCACAAATATCAGCATGAAAATTTATTATTGTTAAAGAATACATTCTATTTCTAGTTAAATTTCCTTTTGAGTCGTGAAAGTTGTTATCCATAATTGATTAGTAGCTTAACATTTTCACTCCTATCAATTTATAATCTTTGTAAACATATTAGCATTGAAAGTGGGAATGGTCATTACACTATTTGACTTAACTTGTATGAATGTATTGACAACTAAGTTGCAGTGATGGGTTGCTCTTATTTTCATCCATGTTACATATGTATTTGATAATTAATTTTAAAGACATAATGCCAGTATGTAAAATGTCACTTTACCTACAGCTGTCTACACAACTTCCTTCCTGAGAAACTCTCACACCATCTATGTACTACGTAGCAGTTTCATGATATCACAAGTAGTGCTATATATTGGCTGTTATGGAAGTTATTGGTTATTATTTAACGCCGTTCTCAGCAATATTCCAGCTATATGGCGGCAGTCTGAAAATAATCGAGTCTGGAACAGACAATCCACTGATCAACAGCATGAGCATCAATCGATGCAATTGGGATACGATGACATGAGTCAACCAAGTCAGCGAGCCTGACCACCCGATGCCGTTAGTCGCCTCTTACGGCAAGTATGGCTTACTGAAGACCAATTCTAAGCCGGACCTTCATGGCTTCGGTTATGTTAGTAACAGTATCACAATAAAAAGAACTTAGAAGTATTAGTTTTGGGCTGTAATACTTAATTTGATCAGTCATCATGCTCATCTGAATAGTGTTATTTATTGAACTAACTGATTTTGATTAAGTAAGACATGTTAAGACACAAGTTATAACAAATTAATGTATTTCATGATTGTTTTGTAATTTACAGTAACACTTATGACAAACTCAGCAGCTATGACCTTCTTCAACTCTGAAAGCAAACTAAATTGATAAACGAGAACTTTATCACAATACTTTGCACCTATAGGAAAGTTTTTCACACATGGGTGGACCCCACAATGGAAGGAATGCATAACAAAGAGCCATGTCAGAACATACTATATCCTTCAAGATCTCTAAAGACCCCCATGAAAGAAATCCACTTCAACAAAACATGCCCCGAGCACTGGCGCTGTTCATGAATATACCAGTGTGAGTTTAGTTACACTGTTCACAGGAATGTATAGGCCAGAATGACTGTATAACGGTATTGGCCGATGTCAGGTGGCACAACACAAGCGAGTAAAATGTCTGAACCTATGCAGTGAAGCATTACTGATCAGTGAAAAGGACGGGAACTCTACAGAATGCAAATTACAGCTAGGTGTTAGAATGTGTGGGCTGTGAGCGCCCTCTGTCATATATCTGTGGTCAATCAGTCTTATCTATATACTTGGTTCATGTGGGCTTGTTACTGAAATGATACAATGTCTTAAACTGACTGTGAGTTAGCAGTGAGGTGACCTGTGAAAACAAGTAATATATGTACAAAACAACAACAATGTGATCTATAAGGTTTGTTTGTTTGGCATCGCAACAGTCAGCAATATTCTTGGTCTACAAGGTCCTGTATATAACCAGTGTTTGAAATTACACATGAAATGACAAGTCATAAAGCGGGTCCTTGTCATAACCCTAATTTTAACAGTTGATGATATATAGGGGGAGGGACCCAGATTCAAGGATTCCAGTATTAACATAAATTCTTCAACACTGATTGATGATTAATATTAGGTCAAGGACCTACATGAAGCTCTCTTAGATGATCATAAGTGCCATACATTAACATTAACTTGCGACTATCTTAGTGCTAAGAAAGCTTTGAAAATCTTGGTTCTGTTAAGTTAATTTAGGATCCCTTATACCACTGTATACACCCAAGTTTCAACATAGATATCAATACGCTAGTCAAGACAAGTGAACAGTAATAAAGACAAATTGTATTCTCCTTAAATAATTTCCCACAAAACTACGTCATAAATAATATACTTTGTTGGTTTGGTTTTTTAACTCATTGTTGTCTACCCTTGTCCTAATATGTAAGGGGGCGTTGGGGAAGCCTAATGGTTAAAGGGTCCGCTTGTCACACTGAAGACCTGGATTCGATTCCCCACATAGGTACAATGTGTGAGGCACATTTCTGTGTCTCCGCCGTGATGTTGCTGGAATATTGCTAAAAGCAGCGTAAAACCATATTCACTCCCCTAATATGTAAGCATGTAAACAGTACTAATTGAAACTCTCCCTTACAAACACACATACACACTGTAAATGTCTGACATATATCCTCATGCCTGTTAATATAACATAATATAGTCACCCATTTAGCCTTTACTAAGATGCATACATTTTGGGGTGGAAATATTCATGAGTATACAAATGAAATATCAAAATATAGGTGAATTTATTTAATTGTTCTCATACACAGCTCATGTCTGATGCTGATTATGATTATCATGAATTTAAATACTCAAGACATACACTGTCACAGTAATGTTTACATAGGCGTAGATAATCTTCCAAGAGATTATGTTAACTCTGTTGAGACAACACAGTGTTTACTGAGTCTGATGTAATCTACAGATAACGACTGGTGTACATCAGTATTTACTATCACTGTCTCACTGGTTCATAAGTGACCATAAGATGTGTGTACAGACTGACATTACATTACCTTGGTCAACACAAATCTGACCATGAACTGAACCTTGAACTCTTGCTCTTATAAATAGCATGAGACCAGTGTTTCTCTCTAGACATGTGAAAGTTAAATGCCACTCAAAGAAGTTTAAAGCTGTTTTGTACGCAAATTAAAGTTATTATAGGTTAAACTTAAGGGTCCTGCATAGCTAAGGGATACTACCCGGTACTCTGCCAAAGAAATTGTGGACTTTATCACTGGCACTCCTGTGTACCTAAATATCCCTATGGCAAATATAACTCTATACAACAGCTATTTCAGTTTTAGCACCAGCCTTGATGACGTGCTGTCACCATAACCAACACATGACATCCTGGATTATCTTCATGACATCATAAATAAAGGCTATTATACACGTGCATTATTAATGGTGTAATTATATTTAGTAGTTCTCACAGAGCATCATGCTTCGTGTTTAGTGGTTAGTTTGTTCAAACATAACATTTGGTTAGGTTATCCTACTATTAAGTAGAATATTATGCACTTTATATGGTATTGCCTTATGGTATTACTATTTCAGTAGTATATTTTGGGAGTTGATATCTATTCCCGTTCCCATGGGACATATAATCAATAGCTTATAGCACACAGGTTATGCTCTGAGCACACAGTATATGGATAATGAAGAACTTTCCATTTATTTAGATTTTTATCTACCATTAGACTATACAGAAGATGTTAGAATAATCCTGAAAGGTAATTATTTTTGGATGTTGTATCAAAAAGTGGCATCAAGCATAATATTATCACAAGTATCAAGAAATAAACATATTCTAAAATATATCATCAATTTAATAAATGTTTCGGACAATTTTTAATATGCATTTGAGAATTATAATCAGGAAATCCTCAAAAACACACACTCTTCTGAGTCTTATATTACAGGTAATAATTCTGTAAATGTTTAATGTAATGGGATCATATTTACCTTTCCAACTCCTTCCTCATTGGCATCCACTCGTTTCTTCAGTTGCATGTACTGCCACATATCAGCTATAGGTCTTTCTCCATCACCCTTGGCTTTGGCTCTCTCAAACAGATCCGAGTTTGTAGGCAAAGCATTTAAATTTTCTAACTGTTCAGCAAGTTTTTCTACCCGTAGTTCAAGATGATGGTACGGGACTGATCTTTTCAACTTGTGTTTGGCAGAGGAGGCAGGGGTGTCTGGATCACTCAAATCTCTAATTTCACTTAATGCATCTTCCGAATCTTCCCCTTTGCCACTGTCAATATCACTCAGGGCTGTCATCACTCTTTGGGGTTTGTTCGATGAAAGGAAATCACGATCACTTTCATTTATGTCGGCTTTGACATCTGTTATATTTAGTTTAGAGATCATCGCATGGAGTAAAGTGTGTAAAACATTGAAATTGACAGCCCCCACCTCAGGTGTCCCGAGGGCCAGGTCCACCAATTTCGACAAAGGCAAAGTTGTCGGCATCTTGAGAGATACTCGACACTTACCTGATGTCTACCGGTTATGAATTCAGCTTCGATTTCTGTGAACACGCCTAAAACAATCTTTTACAGTAACCTGTGATTACCTCAACATGACAGTAACATGCTTCTATCGCTAGCAGACAGTTGAATGTCGATATTCTTCCGCGGTGTGATTTATGGTCAAGTTTTCTACTGCAACAGCCAATTAATAAATAGTTCAGTACATCCAATGTATGTGTTTTTGACGAAAATAAACACTAAACACACTCTAAATGTTTTCTTCCAGGTGTTAAAAATGTCATCCCACGGACTAGTTACTTACAGCGAATGGATCAAGTACGCCTGTGTGAACTGCGATGTCGCCAATAGCAACATGAAGCGATCCGAAGCCACGTGACAGCAGAACGTAAACACCGCTTCGCGAGAACATAACTGTACCGCCAGGCGTGGTGAAGGTTTGACCCATTAATGAGACCGTAACCGAAACAATCAATCAGGATACATTTGTAAACTGATAATAGTGGTATTACCGGTATTTGTATGATTCAAACAACCGAGTATAAAAACAAATCCGATTATCAAGATTATGTGACTAATTATGTCAATGTACCCAACTCGTATTCTTGATCTGGCTCAAATGAACAAAATGTTAGAAACGTATTTCTGGAGATCTAAAGGGGCCCAAATGCTTAAGAGTGACAAAATTCAAGAGATATCTGTTGGCCTGTATATTATGAATTTCAATGAATGAAAATTTGTGATGCTAACCTGATGATTGGTAAAAAATTAAGCTGATGTTGTTGATTAAATCATGTAATTGCTGATTCACAGTTAAATTATAGTTTAAAAAATTATAATTGCTATGAAATATTCGAAAGACCAAAGACATGCTATTCATTTTTTTCATAATTTATTTTTAATAATTTATCTGTATGTCTCCTTCAAATCTCAAAGTACGTGGTTTTTCCTGTGCCGTGTGTTAATGCAACAGTTTCAAATATTTCAAGTACAGTAATATACACGAGAGTTAGAGTATCGCATGACACATTTAGCGACAGCCATTCGTGTCAGGAGGGTTGGTGTCGCCATTAGCAAACAGTTTTGTTCACTTGAAGTACAACAGCTTTAGTTTACATGAAGTTTATGAAACGAGATTCATCACGGAATTCCCATTGAGCCAGAAATGACCTGCTAGTTCATCATGCTTTCTTTCGTTATATTTTGAAAACGCTGTAAATAAATCGAACCATGATACAATAACGAGAATGAAACGGCATGAATGATCTAAGAGTCAAGTGGCTGTTTAAAGTACCCATTTCTTGTTTCATGTTTATTGTTTTGCTATTAATGGTCAGTCCTGTATGGGGGCGGTTGGGTAGCCTAGTGGTTAAAGCGTTCGCTCGTCACGCGGAAGACCCGGGTTCAATTCCCCACATGGGTACGATGTGTCGAATCTGGTGTCCCTTGCCCTGATATTGCTGGAATATTGCTAAAAGTGGCGTAAAACTACACTCACTCATTTAGTCCCGTTTAATCACACCATCAATATCCCACAAACAAGTAATAACTATATATGATGTGCGTGGATATATCATAATTACTGTAAGTTTATTTCAGGAAACAGGTAAGAGGCGACTGGATCGGGTGGTCCGTCTCGGTGACATGGCTAATTGCCTTGGCGTATCACACTTGCTTTGACTGATACTTATGAGATTGATCACTGGATTGTCTGGTTCAGGTTCGATTATTTAGAGACCGCCGCCATATAGCTGGAATATAGCTGAGTGCGGTGTTAAACAACAAACAAACAAACAGTCTCGGTGACTTGGCTGATTACCTGTCGCCGTATCACACTTGCTTGGATTGACGCTTATGATATTGATCACGGCATGCATTGTCTCGATCACACTCGATTATTTAGAGAACACCAATTCAACTGGTTTACGAGATATTTGTTTAGTACATGTTTACATAATTACATTTCCAACGCCTCCGTTGGCAACGTGTTGTTTGATTACACCTAAAAAAACAACAAATACACATCAAAACATGGAATATCTTCTCGCGTGCTTAGGCATATTTGAACCATCGCTCTCTGTAAGTAAAAAGTGAGTGAGTTTTACACCGCACTCAGCAATATTCAAGCTATATGGTCTGAATAATAGAGTCTGGACCAGACAACCCAGTGATCAACAGCATGAGCACCGATCTACGCAACTGGGAACCGATGACACGTATCAACCAAGACAGTGAACCTGACCACCCTCGATCCCGTTAGTCGCCTTTTAGGAAAAACATTGGTTACTGAAGATTAATTCTCGCCCGGATCTTCACGGGTCGTATTCAATATAAAAAAATTCGATTGATGAGAGCGATATGAATAGAGTAATGCTAGCGCATTAAAAACACAACTCACCCACACACTCTCTATGTCTATACTTTTTTACAGTGAGTGATAAAGATCGAACAATCAGGATCGATTAAAGCTCGAAATTACACGTTTCCATTCTTGTGTTCCTGAGTGGATGTATATAACATAGTGATGTCAACCGGAATACAGGTATTTGCTCTTGCTCACACAATCTATTAGCCAGCGTCTCGAAGCGTGCCCTCGTGTCTATAGACCAGGGATTAAGGTGTATCTACTACAGCTGAAAACTCGTGACTAACCATCCGATCTCCTCGATATATCAATAAACTGGATAGAGGGGGCGTGTTGAAGTGATACGTGCTCGGGAAAGGCGTCTCAAGATAGAATCAGCCTTTGTTTCACATAATGAATCGTATCAAAGAGGTGGTGGGTTAGCCTAAAGGGTAAAGCGTTCGTTCGTCACGTCGAAGGCCCGGGTTCGATTCCCCACATGGGTACAATGTGTGAAGCCCATTTCTGGTGTCCCCCACCGTGATATTGCTGGAGTATTGCTAAAAGCGGCGTAAAACCATAATCACTCACATACATATTATATCTGACGTATTATAACCAACGTCAAGACTTCATATGTTTTGTAGAGACATTACGTGATGGAGGATGCACAGGCACAAGAAACTATAGCATTACAGGTTTTTGTGATCGATTATTGCTTTTATAATACATGCTTGCATGTACGTATATGTGCGTCTGCTCGTGCCAGTCTTATAGTGTCAGCCAAATGAAATACCCTGACGAAGTTTAAAGTGGTACCTTACTCAGAAAAAGAATTAATATCCATTAGCTTCCGTAGTTGGCCGGGGATCAAACCACCCACCTTTCACTCTACGGACAAACGCGCTATCGACTAAACACCAATGTGGATTGTAACAAAATACAAACCAATAATAGCGATTTGAATCTATGATTGTTTGTTTTATCCTAAGATGAATAAAATTCTGAGATGTAACTGTTCAATTGGCAAGGTAAAATTAAGAAGATTCGCAATCTTAATTTCACTTTATTTGATTTACTTTTTTGTTTAAAGTGAAATTCATCGGTACGTTTTCACTGCAAACAGACTATAGTTTGACAGATTGCGAAGATCACTGATGAGTAGGCCATTCAAAGCTCAAATCTTAATGTATTGGCATTTATATGGATTTTTGGATTACGGTGTGGTCGAAAACCTAACAGCATTATTAATCAAACCCTCCAAGCTGTGCAAAAGCTGTGCCAGTCTGCCAACGTTGAATGACAGTTAAAGCAGTGAACGCGCACCTGCCATATATCCAGCAGATCGGTATAGTCACTCTTCGATTTTTATGAGTGTTAAACTCTCCTCAGAATACCACAATCTACCGAACAGAACTGAAGTTTTTACATGTGTAGTGTAAATAACGAATGAATGTTGTTTTATGCTACATTCCAGCGAAGATTGAGTCTATATGGATCGTACAATTCATACATTTCTTTAGACCCATACCGTCCATTGGCGATTCACACAGTACGATGGTACACATTCGGCCTTATCACACGTTGCGACCACCAAATAACCATTTTAGTCCTAAGCATAATGTTAAAGCAAGGGAGTTACGATCATCTTAGATATATGGCATAGGGTCAAGGAATCCCCACACCGGAATCCCAAGTGGGGACAATCACAGATTTTAAGTGCATGGTTTTACGCCGATCTGAAAGTTGTATAAGCATTGTGTGCTGTAACGAAACTCAGTCGACATCTTACGTTAACGGGGCGGTGGGGTAGCCTAGTGGTTAAAGCGTTGGCTCGTCACGCCGAAGACCCGGGGTCGATTCCCCACATGGGCACAATGTGTGAAGCCCATTTCTGGTGTCCCCCCGCCGTGATATTGCTGGAATATTGCTAAAAGCGGCGTAAAACTAAACTCAGTCAGTCAGTCTTACGTTAACGGGCAGTGGGGTAAGCTAGTGGTTAAAGCGTTGGCTCGTCACGGCGAAGGCCCGGGTTCGATTCCCCATATGGGTACAACGTGTTGCCCCGTCCTTAGCTTGTAGCTCTGAACTTCAACCTCTACAACATTTTTTTTCATGAATATATAATTGTGCACGGGTCTCCCGGAAGATAAAGTTAAAACATGGACAAGGGAAATTCGTGTTGTGACATTATTTTGTGGATATCTTATGTGTGATATCGAATTCCTGCTGGGGATGGCTAAAATGATCGATAATCGGAAATATCGTCGGTACGAAAAATGTTTAATGATTATCGATAGGAAAACAGTTACCGACAATATCGTACATTATTTTTGTGATACAAAAAAGTTTTAATTTTGTCAAACAATATACAAATGTAGGACTTTATTCATGGCCTGCTTCTAAATTATGTTAGGATGCTGTTTTGTTGAAAACTCATGCAAAAACATGTGACCACTCACCAATGATGTCAAATATATTAATTTCTTTCAGATATTTTTTACATTTTTGCTCAAAGTTACACCTCCGATATTTATCGATTTAGTTAACGATTATCGATGTCTATCATCTATATCGATAACCAGCCCTAATGTGGCTGCCTACATCATGATGGTGGGCAGAGGATGACGGAATGTATTCCTGATTGTATTTTTTGAGTTAGTGAGTGAGTCTGGTTAAAATTATGCAACATTTAGCAATATTGAAGCAATATCACGGTGGGGACACCACACGAGGTCAGAATTGGTCTTCTGCAATCCATGCTTGACGTTAGAGGCGACTAACGGGATCGGGTGGTCAGGCTGGCCTACTTGGTTGACACTGACACATGTCATTGTACCCCAGTTGCGTAGATCGGTGCTCATGCCGTTGATCACTGGATTGTCTGGTCCAAACTCGATTATTTACCGCCATATAGCTGTAATACTGCTGA